ATTTCAACGGACGCGGAGAGCCCCACGCGAAGGTCGACGCGGGACAGGTCGAGGAAAGAGGGAAGCGATCGTGCTTGTAAGTCGCGAGTTTATAGGGCATGGCCTGTAACAACCGTCGTTCCTTATGAAACGATCCGTGTTCCCCCTTAAGATCCGTTGCGTTGTATCTCCGGAATAGCCGGATCGAGATTTATCGCGTTATCGATTCATCGCGTCGAGAATGGACGATTCTCCTCGCGAGCGGAGGAGAATAGACGCGGAAGCGCGCATCGAATGGAAGAGAAGAGGAGATCGAAGGGGATCGAGTCTCCCGCCAGGGATCCACTAAATGTTCGAAACGTGTCTCGAGCGCATCAAAAGCGGACCTGGCCGCAGGCCGGCGTTATAATTTCAGGCGGTTTCAGGGAGGTCCTGCGCCCGAGGGCCAGGACCGAGACCAGTTCAATGAAGTCATCAGCTAGTCGGGGCCGGGGTGCTCTGTTATTATACCGTGGTACCGCGCCACCATCCTTCGTTTCTTTCTTCCCGACCCGACCGATCCTGCTTGCGAGCAACATCTTCGCCTTATCCGCGGATTCCTCTCGAACTCGTGATGAACTCAGTGTTCCGAGTTGATGAACCGAATCTGTTGTTCGATCGTTGAATCGGGAAGGAAAGAGAAGGAAGCGAGAGAAAGGAGGGGGGCGGAGAGGAGGAGAAGGAGAAGGGGAAAAAACAGCCGATGAAAAATCGAACGGTTAGAATTTTCGAAGGTATGGCTCGCGATAACGAAAACGATAACGATAATATCCATCGTTGAGACCGAACGGCGAGCAAGTATGCGGAAGTGGTGATTAGAGAACCGTAAAACGATTGGAATCCAAGGGATACGTGAGTAAATAGAGGCAGGTTTCACGACAGGTTGGAAAGCAACGTTAAAAGAGAGATAAGTTCCGAAGGGTATATATACGAACGAATCCTAATCTCGTAGCTCCGCAATAAGACCGGCGAGGGTTTCCTTTACAATCGGGCCGGAGGCCAATTAGATCCAAAGTTCTTAATCCGTTTATCAGCCGTGCCACGACGGTGCACGAGCCTCTTTCATCGGAACGGATAAAAGAGCTTTCGTGTTCGACCTACGAAATTTTCGATCCGATCCGTCGAAAGGAATGTCCTCGTATTAAGTATCTACACACACACACACACACACACACACACAAGTGAAATAGCGTTACACTTTAATAGACTCGTCTTGGAAATTTCGACGATTAAATTGTGACGCAATCGAGGGAAGAAGAGTTGTTGTTGCGAGGACGACGTTGCAAGAAAGATGAAATGATTAAACGCGAGAGGAATAAGACGACACAGCGTCCAACACCAGGGTTAATGAAAAAAAGAAGGTGAGAAGGAGGAAGAGGAGGAGGAGGAGGAGAAGAAGGAGGAAGAAGAAGACAAGGGAGATCTCTTACTCGTGGGTAAAGATGGTCTGGCTGTTGATAGAGGG